GTCCTCTGTAAAACACACCTGGGACAGGTTAATCCAATTATACAAACACATAAATGTTAATAGACACAGACATAAGAAAGAAAAGCGTGGTGATATACACATATATAGGTTTACACATAATTACACACACATATATATGCGTATCTACATAGATATATGCATATATCTCATATGTATGGAGGGTGAATAGATATATCCATATTATATGCATCTGTGTATAATTTATAGCTTATGTTAGATGTATTTACACACACATATAGGCATATTTTTATATATATGCATATAAATCATGTATAGAATATCTCATACATATGAATATATACATTCATATTATGCATCTATATTATTTATAATTTATATTATTTTAGGTGTATTCGATACTATATATTATATAACATACATATAACGCACACTAATTTTATGTGTGTATATAATCTATATATAAAGTACATATACACATAAAATATATATTTTATATAAAATATACTTTAAAATATATCTAGGATGCTTCTCCCAAGTAGGCAGAAGCATTTAGAGCACTAAACCACCAGGAGCATTTCTATGGAGCAGGGGGACAATGTCCTGCAACACCGACTTGGCCAAAGGAGAAGCTGCACCAACAGCACAGCGAGAGCAGGATGGTGCTGAGCACCCTGGGCTCCCCTCCCAGCCCCAGCCTCTGCGGGCGATCGATCGCCCTAAGAGCCTCCTGGAGCCACCAGCCATCTGCCCTGCTCCCAGGGAGGAGGTTGGAGTCTGGGGCTCAGCCAAGGATCGATGGAGAGATCTGGGGCCAAACCCTGAGCCAGCTGCAGCCACAGCACCAGGGTTTGGTTTTTATTATTTATCTATTTTTATTCACCAAAAATAAACATATTTTGTGACTGCAACACCAAGGCCGGGTTTTTGATCACAGTCCCCAGGCTCCAAATGCCACCAGTGCCTATGAACGAGGTCAGCGATAGCCAAGGCTGAACTGTGGATTATCTGCCTCTTGACATCAATCGTAATCTCCCCCCCACCCAGTCTCCAAACAATTATGGGAAAGGCTGGGGCTGAGCGATAAAATGACACTGGAGACGGGTTATTGGATTGCTGTGGATTTTCCACGATCTGACGGCAGCGAGGGCTGAGCCTGAGTCCAGAGGAGGCCACCAGGATGATGCGAGGGCTGGGAGAGTTGGGGCTGTTCAGCCTGGAGAAGAGAAGGCTCCAGGGAGACCTTCTAGTGGCCTCCCAGTACCTGAAGGGGCTCCAGGAAGGTGGGGAGGGACTTTGGCCAAGGGCAGGGAGTGAGAGAACAAGGGGTGATGGCTTGAAAGTGTCAGAGGGGAGATGGAGGTGATATATGAGGAAGAAATTCTTTGGTGTGAGGGTGGTGAGACACTGGCCCAGGTTGGCCAGAGAAAATGTGGCTGCTCCTCCCTGGAAGTGTTCAAGGCCAGGTTGGATGAGGCTTTGAGCAACCTGGTCTAGTGGAAGGTGTCCCTGCTGCTGGCAGGGGGGTTGGGACTGGATGAGCTTTGAGGTCCCTTCCAACCCAAACTATTCCATGATTCTAATTTAGGAGCCACCATCAGCACCAGCTGTAATTCTGGGGGGACACCAAGCTCACCCCTCCTGCAGGCAGCACCAGGCTGCTCCAAGACAGGCAGGGACCCTCATCTTGCCCAAACAGGACCAAGGCAACATCTGCCCAGCCCTCAGGGGGTCCAGGAGGGACATGGCCACAGTGGGTGACAGCCCCCAGCGCAGCAGATTGCAGGGTTTGCATTTGCTACCCCCACTGGCTTTGTAGATTAAAGAATTATGAACTCCTGAAGTTCTGCAATATTAATGATTGCAGCCATCTGTTAATCTGGCAGCAATGAGCTGGGTTTTGTTTTACTTTGCTTAGTCCAGTTATTAAAACAGAGTATTTTTGGTTTGGTGGGCAGCTGGAGATGATTTGCACCCATTCCTTATTGCCATCCCTGCCTTATTTAGGGAGCAGGGGGAGAGGAGTCCCCAGGTAGGATGGTGCTGCACTGTGCAGGACTCAGGGATGATATCTGGGGGTGAGGAACCACACCAACACCAACTCAATAGTCCCCATCACCTTGCAAAGTCATCCCTGGGAAGCTGAGGGTCTGTCCTGAGCGCTGGCTGCCAATCCTGGCTCTCTGGGGGATGGTGTTTCAGATAACCCAGCTCTCTGCTGTGCACTCCCAAGGGATAAACTCATTTAGCAGGTTAATTGGTGTCCTTGGTACAACTGGTCCCAGCACCGTCCCAGCCCACGCAGCAGGGGAGGTTGGGATGTGTAAGGGCGGCAGAGGCAGCATGTGCACCACCCCCAGCTCTGCTGTAACAAACCACCACAACTCATGGCACAAACCCACCCGTGTCCATGTGGTGGAGGTGGTGACGCTGCCCCTTCCACCTTCACCATCCCGATCCAGGAAGATCTCAGGGACTCCATCCACACTGACCCCGCTGGGATGTGTATCACCATTCCCACTTTGAGCAGAGCTGGAAGAGCCAGGCAGGTTTCCTGGCAGCACTAGACAAGGGAGGGTTATTTATTTATTCTTAACTACTGACAACTCCCCTCCTCTGGCCTGTAAACAAGTAGTTTATCAGCAATAAATTTGTGAATTAATTAATTCAATGGAACTCTATCCATAATCAATAGTGATGCACACACAACAGCTCTGCTAACTGCTGACCACACCCAGCAGCTCCTTGGCCCACAGGTATGTTAAACTCCTGGGCTAGATGATGGCATTCCCATCCCAGACTTTAAAAATATAAACCAATTTCACTATTTTCAAATGAAATTTTATTTTCTGATACAGACACTCACTTGCAAAAGTTCCATTTACTGTTTGGCAGCACGAGCTGTACACACACTTGCTAAACCAGCAGAGTTGCGTTTGCTAAAATACAATATTTGGATGAGACAGCTCCAGGTGCCCAGTTTCCTCTCCAAACTCTGCCTTTCAATTTTTAATGAGCTCTGTCTCAATTATACCTGGAGCAAAGCAGACAAGATCAGCCTCCAATTTACCTTTGGGGTTATACTAGTCAGAGTCTCAGGGTACTGAGAAGATGTTTTCTACTGTGGTTGATTGTAATGACTATATTTGTCTATCCAACCCACACCCAAAGTCAAGCGCAGATCTTCAGAGGAAGTCTTCTTCTCATACATAAAAGATTCTGTCATTATCTATAGGATCATCCTCGCTATAAGGGCTGCTATAATCCATTAAAATTCAGAAGTAGATAAATAATGAATAGATAATGCTACTTACTTACAGTAAAGAAGCAGTTCCTAGCCTTTCCTTGTGATGGTAAATCCAAGGAGTAACAAAACACTCACCCTCACCTGCTCCCACAGTCCTGCCCACGGCACCAAACAAGGTGACACTGAAGTCTACACCCAGTCCAAGATCAGTCTGGTATTAAGGGTTGACTTGGTTTTACTGTTGCATTTTTACATCCACAGCAAAGCCACAAAGCAGAATGCAACACCTGAGCGTTAGCACATCCAGGGAGAAACAAAGTGGATTATTGTGGAGAATTGAGAACAGGAGACTTCAGGGCAGTCGGGTGCCCAAGCTCTCTGCGCTGCTGGGAGAGCACCCAGAGTGTTACAGACCAGACTGAGCTTGAGACAGGGAAACTCTTACACCAGGGCAAAGCAGAGAACAGACATGGTGCCTACAGAAATTAGTGTTTGCAGCCTCCTTTCTTCTCCCCCTCAGCCATAACATGAACAGGGAGCTTCTACTACTCAGTAGATGAGGTGAGAATGACCACATTATTATTAGGAACATGCAAGAACCATCTCTCTTTGAAACCAGAATGAAAGACCCTGGTGCATCTTTAGGAGCACAGACCAGAAGGAGACACCACATGGCCAGCACTGCCAACCATCAGCAGAACCAGATCCCCGAGCACCAGGGGACTTCACTGACCTCTGCTTGTCCTGGCTGAACTTGGACTGCAGGAGATGAAGGTACAGCAACTGTTTGAGGAAAAAACAAAACAAAACAAAACAAACAAACAAAAACCAACACAACAAACCCAAACCAGGACTGACAACATGCCAACAGAATTTCTGAAGAGCTTTACTGAACTTTGTGTTGATTTAGATACATATACACTTTGAATAGAGTGGCTTCTATAAGATAACAAAACCCACTGGAAGCCTTAAATGTGCAAAATACATTTCATCACATATTAAGATTTATTTCTTTTTGTCCCCCCTGACTGCCAAACCAGTGCAGACCAGTATCAATGTGGGGTACAAACCAGGCCAGAAATATTTCTCTATTTTTACCTCCAGAGTTCAAAAGTTAACTCTTAAACTTACCACTATCATAAGGATTTGAGAAACCCCGAGAGCTATCAGCACCAGTCACCTATTGTTGAAAATAAAAACAAAGCCCCACAATTGGAAGCTGCTGAAAACTAGATTTTTTTAAAAATTATTATTATTTACAAACAAAACAAGCTATTTACTGCATTAGACCTTCCTGAATCTGGTTTCTTGAATTCCCAAAACACATCTGCTGAAATACAGCCACTGTTCACCCAGCTTAACCTAGGATTTCATTTTTGGGATTTGTCTGAAGTAAGTTCTTAGCTGAATGTTTTTGGAGATGACAACCAAAGCAGAACTCCAGGAAGAGATTTCACAGATTAAGACAAATTGGAAAAATATTCCTGAACATTTGGGGAAAAATTACAGTTTTTCAAAAATATTTATGAACTTGGAGACTTCGTGATGAGCTGTGGCGCCGAGGGGCAGGTGCCTCAATCCCTGGGCAGAGAAAGAAATATCAGTTAGCATACTTCAGTAATTTTTATTAAAATGTTATAATAAATGATATTGACATAAGATATATTTGATACATTGATATATATCAAATGATATATTTAAATATCTAATTGCTAAGTAATTGATTTGTCACTGATATGTTTTGTTGTTAAATTTTAAAATCCAGAGATACTCACTGCATTGTGAAAGAAGTTGCAAAGATGCTTTGCCCATGGACACCTGCAAAACAGACACAGATTTTTAATCCATTTTCTCATAGGGCCAGACCTGCCCCTGGTCTCAGCCACTCCGAGTTTACAAGAAGGTTAAATCCAACAATTCACTTCAGCTTCCAAACAGAGATGATTTCAGCAGTGGATGTACAGTAAAATAGTTAAGGACAAAGACTAATTTTCCTCAGATCTCTTGGATCACTGCTAGAGCATATTGTAAAGCCACACAAACAAAAAAAGATAACTATTGTAACTGCAAATTTGTTAAATGCAGCTTAGTTCATACACAGCTGAGTGGAATCAGGTATTTTATTTTTCACAGCTACACACAGCAAAGGCTGGGGAGGAGAAACAGAAGCATTTCACAAAGAAGGTCAAGTTACACATCCATCATTTCCACTTCAGGCAACTTAATTCACTGAGAGGTGAGTTTTCAACATTACTCTGCTGCCATCAGCTACGTGTGAATTAAAAGAGCCAGAGCAATTACACTGCCTTCTGCTACCCAACCACAGAGTCAATTCATTTAAAAACTATTATGTCAATACATTAAAGTCAATCACTAGAATGCTTCACTGTGTCACACAGGAGAGCGAGGATTACACTTATGAACAGCTAGAGGTTTCAGAAGTGACACAGCAGTGTTTTATTATCATTTGTAATCTAAACAAAGTACTCAGACTTTTTCAGAACTCTCTTTTCCCACTGACTGAAGCTTTGTGCTGCTACAGAGCCAGTGGTCTCTCTCTTATTTTTAAAAGAGGATTAAGAATGACAGGCACAAAGCTAATGCTGTCCTCAGTTTGCATTACAGTGCACATCTGTTCCTGAATCTTTAGTTTTTGGTGGGGATCTACTCTCTCACCACCATGTGAAGGATTTCTGACAAGTTTAAAAGAAACATTGACATCTGTACACCCACTGTACTCTTGTAGATACACAATCATGTAAATTTTGAGCTACTGTCAATTATTTTCTCTAAATAAAGCTTTATGCAGTATTATGAGTTCAGGAACTACTTTGCTCTAAGTCTTAGTTAAGTTTTTTTGGTTGTTATTGATGACAGTGATATTTAATTAATAGAATTAGATTGTACCACATGGAATCTTGATGACTAGTCAGGGTTGCCAAGAACAGATAATATGTTTTTCAAAATAATGGGAAGCAAGAAGGCCATTTGGTTGCAACAGGTAACACAGACCAATTTCAAATCTACCCAAAACATTGTGTTCAGTATCTTTACTACTAACAGGGAAGAATAAAACACAAGAATGAATTGTGAGTTAAGATTGTTAATTAAGAGAAAACTACCATCATAGTAGTAATGATTTTCGATTTGTCTGTGCTGAAGTTTCACACTTACACGTGCAGGTTCTCTGTAATAATATTCAGAGTGAACAGGCCAATGGATTGCATCTTCTTGTGTCTGCACGTCAGGAACAGGCAAAGGAATTCACCCACGTACTGGGGACCAAGATTTTGCCACCTAAGCAATATAAAAGCAGGAAACAGAACACACAGCTGCTCAGAGACAACTTTCCTATTGATTCTTCTCACCTTATTTGCATTCATTTACTTAACCAAAGCACTGGGCTGGCTGGTTTCAAAGAGCAAAGGATTATATCTCTGATAAACATCACTGCTGAGGGACTGTCCTTATGGTTTCCACAAACAGACAGACTCCAGGGAGCAAGTGTTTACTCACAGCTTCAGCATTGTTGCTTTCTGACGATTGAGATCTCTCAAAATCAGGTTGACAGTGCCATGGACAATATGTTCTTCATAGGAAAGATGGTCCAATAAAAGCCTCAGAGCCCAAAAATTATTCTAGGAAGAGACAAAATAAGACCAGTGATTTAACCTAATTGCCAATCATTGCTTAAAAAACCAACATAAATTAAAGGTCAAAGCTAAAGGAGAACAAAACCAAGTTAAATGTGTCTAAAAGCTCCAAATTGGTGTCACATAGATTTTAAATATAATTTGCTTTAATAGCTTAGAACAGAAATCAGTATCTAGGACTCACCCCAAAAGCCAGGGCTATCTCCAAGAAGGAAGTCAAGTATGGGAGATCACAAAAAAGCATCTGTTGTACTGCTTGCACTGCGAGAATAAGACAAGCCTCGTGGTGCAACTACAGGAAGAGATATCAACAACATGAAACATATATTTAAAAGCTCATTTTCCCATTACTTCTATATCATATGCAGTGACTCAGCACTGAGTTACCACCACTCCAGTTGGAGAGGTTGGATGTCAGACATGGCATCCACAAGAATCTTATGAAAACCAAAAGAAGGGGGAACAGAACAGGCACTTCTCTTTACACAGAATGTTTTACATGTTGCCCTCACAGAAACACACCTCACACCATCACAGAAGCAGAAAAAGAATTAAGGGGAAAAAATTCTGGCCCAGAATTCCCATATTTGCAAAGTAAGCTAAATGTCATTTCCCCAAAAGAAGTAAGTAAAAAAAGAGTAAGAAAGCTCCTTAGATGTACTGATTGTATTTAATATAGAATATATTTCAAGCCACCTTTAAAGATCTTCCACTACACTTGACACCATCATTCAAAACAAGTTTAGAAATTCTGGGCTATTCTGAGCTTTGAGACAAACACATTGTCAAGTTTCAAAGGACAGTCTCCAGTTTGAATCAAACAACACAGGATTATCTTGTAAGAAGTTAAGACAGAATCAACTATCACCAACCCTCCCACTTTATAAATGCATAAATTTGGACAGTGATAAGACTTGTCCTAAGCTGAATATAGTGTCAGAGCAGAACAGACCCTAATAGTTTTCTTCCCCTGAGATACCTGCTCTAGCCTTTACACTGTGCTAAGAACAGTCTCATGCTGATTCCCCCCACAAAAAAATAATCTTCAAGCCCTCTCTTAAAAGCTTTTCATAATAATCCAACTATTTTCAATACTGCTGTATCTTCAAGCACAATAAAACAAGTGGTAAATTTCCTTATTGCCACGTGCACACTTACATGAGGAGAGAAAATAGCAGGTGGTAGAGAGACATTAATTTTTGCCTTGAGTTCCTCCAAAAGGCCACCACTGGCAGCGAGCACCCCCTGCAACAGAAGTCACAAGTCACAAAGGATGTCCAGATACTCTACAGACATCAAGCAGTGCCTAGGATGGTTCTTTAACATGCTTTTACTTACTTTTTCAGCATTTTTACAGATGAGGTTGACTGTTCAACATCATACTCAAGGAGAGCTGAGGTTCTACAGCACAAACCAAATCATATCACACAACCTCTTCATTTTAACCTACTATGCTTAGCAGACAGTTGCTTCTGTTCTTGTGAAGAAAATACCCAGATACTGACTCTCTCTCTGAAACTGCCTTCCTATCTATTTTGTTATCTGATCCATCTCAACATGAACAGATATAGAATCAGTATTAGGCACTGAGCTAAGCTAGCTAACTTAGAGTTAGCTAACTCCAGCTAACTGAGCAGAGTTAACCTGCTCACTGTTGCATTTAACACTCCAGAATCACAACATTTTGCAAGAAGTGTTACATTTGGCATGTGCTACAAGAGTATTTGATGAGGCACTGTAAAGTTAACCTCAGTATTTTAAAGAGCAAGCCAATACCCATATCGAATGAAGTCTTGTATAAAACTAAGACAACAGATTCTCCCATTTCACAGCACTGTTTCAGTTACCTTTTGGAACTCAAGTGGTGGCTCTTTCAGTGAGAGGGGATGTAGGTGCCCACTTTTTTCCAGCAAATTGCTGCTACCCAAGGTCATGATGAGGGAACTCCAGCATTTAGGCTGAAACACAGCAGAATATTTGTTTTACAAATGTCAAATCCATTCAGAGACATAAACTATTCAGATAGAAAAGTGTTCTGATAGTAAATCCTTGCATTAGAGAAGTAACTGGACAAAACAGGTAATACACAGAAACACTTGATGGGTCACAAAAACAGAGTTTTAATACAGACTCACATTCCTGTATAGTGACATGTTGCTGTAAAGGAGTTTGAGTGCCTGCTTAATCAGAACACCATCTTTCAAGGGAGACCCTGCAAGAAAAAAAATCCAAAACATATCTTATATTCCCCGAATAACTACACAGTGTTAAAATAACCAAGATATTAACTCATTTACAGATATGTTACTACAGAAAGCCAACAAAAAGAAGCAAACGAGTGTCTACAGCTATTTTACAATATTTTGTAGGTTCTGAATAGAAAAACATCAACTGTAAAATATTATTCTGGAAAGCTGTAAAGAACTGAATACAATTTAGACTAAGCCATTACATACATCACACCACAGGACAGTGCTATATACACTGTCAGTATTTAATAAGAAAGTCTAAGAATTCTACTAGATGTAGCTGAACACCTCCAAAAGAAATCTTCCATTTCAGAATATACCTTGACAAGTAGCATGCACCAAGACAGACAATCACAGTTATCAGTGACTAAACTAATCACAGAATATAATACACAGATGATGAAACTCTTTCCACCAGGAAGCTTTTATTCTCGAGGTCAAGGCTGAGACATACCACAATGCCAAGTTACACACTGCCATTGGGAATGCCATGATGTAATTGCAGAGCTTTGCATTTTCTTTTAATAGGTTGCTTTCAGCCAAACAACTTCACAGCTGATAAAACTAGTGTTTTGTGTGAAATGTACTAAAATTCATGCTCAAACATAAAGCCATTCTTCCTGCCTAGCATTATGTACCATGCTTTAGTCTGGACAATTCATAGTTGGGTTCAGAGTCCCTTAGAACTTTACTAGACTTAATGAAAAAGTAAAAGCTGTAATTAAGTAAGGTTGTAAATATAAGTAAGAAAGAAATCACACTTGCCAACTGTAACCCAGGGCCCAGAGTCTAGCATATCCTTTCCAGTGGGGACACTGCCTGTTTTGAACATCTTCAGGTAGACCTCAAACTGCAAAGGCATCAGCCGGCAGGCAGTGCAGCAGGCGAAGCTGTTGGAGGGAAACAACAGCGAGTGCGCGGCGTCGGGGAAGTCTCCGGTTTTACACAGATAAAAGGGGATTTTATCTCGAAGGTCTCTTAACCTGGCAAGAAGGAAGAAATAAATGTTTGATTTTTAGTAATGTGTAAGTTTCACAATACATATGTAGAGCTCTGATTACGCTTGATCATTAATAAGCTACATTTGACAAGGCAGAAGGTATTTACAATGCAGCGCTGCTTTCCCTTAGCAAACAGCTGCCAAAATCCTCCTGCTTTTCATTCTGCAAGTTTATTACACGTTGAAGAAACACAGACTGGGACACAATCTTAAGGCAAAGAAACAATTAAAAAAAAAGAAAAAAAAAAAAAGCCACTTACCCTTTGGTATCATCGCATTTCACAGCTCTAAGGTAACGAACAACTTCTTTATAGCTGGAGAGAATAAAAAAAGAGGGTGAGCAGGAAGAGGAAGGAAGTGCAAAGCTGTATACAGGGCAATCAAATATTTACTACAATGAATGAAGCAGAGCAGTAGATCTTCCCACACAAGAGATGTTGCACAACAGGAGAGAAATACAACTGGCAGAAACAGGCAGCTGGAAAGAAGTTCCAAGAACCTACCCACAGATTATCTCTATATTGTGGCAAAATAAACCAGGAGGCTTGCCTTTCAGGTTCATTCTTGAAGGGGACTGGGTTCTTTTGAATACAGACTTCCAAAGACCCAGAGACCAGAAAGCTTTTTTTTTTTTTTTTTTCTCTGTCTTCCACCCAGTCAGTCTTTGATGATCAGAATTTGTTTTAAACATCTAAAACCTACTGGATTTATGGAAACAAAGAAATTCTCTTTTTCATAGAATCATAGAATGGTTTGGGTTGGAAGGGACCTTAAAGATCATCCAGTTCCAACCCCCCTGCCAGCAGCAGGGACACCTTCCACTAGACCAGGTTGCTCAAAGCCTCATCCAACCTGGCCTTCAACACTTCCAGGGAGGAGCAGCCACAGCTTCTCTGGGCAACCTGTTCCAGTGTCTGACCACCCTCACAGTGAAGAACTTCTTCCTAATATCTCATCTAAACCTCCCCTCTTTCAGCTTAAACCCATTTCCTCTTGTTTTGTCATTAACTGCCCTTATAAAAAGTCCTTCCCCAGCTTTCTTGTAGCCCCTTCAGATATAGGAAGGCCGCCATAAGATCTCCCTGGAGCCTTCTCTTCTCCAGGCTGAACAGCCCCAACTCTTTCAGCCTGAAACATTCTTTTCTCGCCCTAAAGTGTTCAAAGGGGTTGATTCTGCTTTGAAAAAACTTCAAAAAGCTGCTGGTCTCATTGGTAAGAAGTAATGGGCATGAGCAGCTTCAAATGTGTCTGTTTTGTATGTTCCTCCATTATAGAAAACTCCTGCAGATGTCAGGAAAACACTACACTGCAGTCAGTACCATGCAAAATGTAAAAAGCTGAATTCATAAAATGCAAAATCCCAAACAAGACCAAACCAATCTTACTTCTCTTTGTCTACCAGTTTCTCCACACGAGCCTCTATAACAGGGAGTGTTTCCCACAGAAATACTTTTCTTCCTTTCTGTGTTCTTTGACCAGTGATGTTCTGGCCTTTTAAAACCGTGGTCAGTAATACGTGGTCCCATGGCACAACATTCAAGCTGGAAGTACAACAAGAAAGTTATTTTTAACTGTGTTTTGTTTCTCCACCACAATTTATTTCTCTTAAGTAACACAAAGATTTACCAAGAAAACATTTTGAGGTTTACAACTCAGTCCACCACAATTTATTTCTCTTAAGTACCAAGAAAACATTTTGAGGTTTACAACTCACTTCTGAAGGGAGGGAAAAAAAAAAAGAAAGAAAAAAGCTATATATGGACAACAACTTAACCACAGAGTCAAACAACAACCTTTCCTGTAAGGACAGGACAAATACAAAGCAGCTAATACTGAAATCTTCCTATAAATGCTCACACCTAACACCACCAGTGAAAGAACCATTATATATATAACTGTTTTCTAATCAGGCAAGTGTATAAAAAAAAAAATATATATTCTGTAAACAAAAACCAAAGAACTGACCTATTTGAGAAGCCAAAACAGTGACATGGAAGTGAGATGGACTGAAAAAAATGAATAAACTTTTCATACAAATTTTTTGGAAAGTCACACAACACCAGCATCCTCTGAAGTTGTGTTGTGATCCTATGTTTTGAAAAGAAAAGAAAAAATATCTCTTAAAATCAGATGAATTACTTTTGTGATTTTTTTTTTAATCCTATGGGAAATTATCCCACAGAAGTTTGGGGCTATTTTTGGTAAAATGTCAGACAGTTAATTTGGATTTATACTTCAATTTGTGCTTTAAGATTTGTAGTGAATAATGGTATTGCTTTTTTGTTATTTATTTTTTAAATATCAGTGAAACCAAGGTTCTTAAGTTTTAAGACAAAGATTTCCAGTGACTACATGTGAGAGAAACTGCAGAAAGAGATGATGAGCCCGTAAAGCAACCTGAACTCCTGGCAGCTTCAAAGCTTGGGAAACCATTTTTGTCTTAACTGAAAACTGGAGAGAACACAGGGACACAAAGAAGAGTTTATTCTTTTAAAACTGGGGGAGGGAGGTAAAAAAAGTTCCTTTTCCTGTTCTTGTAATGTAAGGAATTAAAAAAATTCAAGAATAGTAATTTAAAATGAAAATTGCTATAGGATTTAGGTTATACCAGTCATTAGTCTCAAATAAGAGGTGAGAATATATAATTGTTTTTGAGTGCTCCTGAAAAAAGTTAATTGTTAATTCATTAACCTTCTGTTACAAGTGAATTTGGGGTCAAAGGTGAAATACAAAGCTAAAATGAGAAATGGATTAAGCCAAGTGAGCTAGATGTCCCCATTCATCAGCCTCTGGGGGAACTTTACAATGTTACAGTCCCAACTACTCCATCCCAGTGGAATACTACAAGGTTGCTCTTTTGATCTTTTAAGAGACACTATTTACCCTTTGGCTTAATAACCACAAGTAGGTACCTGACACCACCTTCTGGTCTGGCCTTACAGAACACCCCTAGACCACAGTATAAAAGTAATCTGTCTTCTTGGCTTTGAGTTCCCCATTGAGTTATTCTCCTTTGGGGCAAGAAAGAAGGGTTTGAATGTTTCTGTGACTCTAAGTAAGGCAGGTATTGCCCTTGTCCTTCACAGAAAGGGACTAATATTAAACACAGCTTCTAAAAATCCTGATTTGTAGTGTACAACTGTAAAACCTGATGGCACAATGAAGTCCCTCCTCGTTAGGCTGACCTGTGCATACTGCTGTTCATGTTCTGCCTGTCCCTACCCATCTGCAGTCTACACACAGGCAGCAGCAGGCCACTCTTGCTCTGCTCAAGCAATGCCTAAGGCAGTACAGTGTAATTGTGTTCCCCCATAAGGAGTTCCTGATGCTACAGAACCACAAGACTATACACCTGTGCAAGTTTTCTTTTGGCTTTTAAGAACTAAAGCATTCACTTTTTTGTCTTCCTGCCTTTGAAGAGAAGTAATTTTAAATGCATTTTAAATGCCAGCAGAAAGTTTGCAGCCAGTGCCCATCCCACTGCCACCTCATCACACGGTAAGTCAAGTCTTACCTCCGCATCAGACAAGGGACAGCAATCTTTAATGAAGCAGTGGGACCAAGGTTCTGCCAGTTTCTAAGAGAGGAGGAAAAAAACCCACTAATTAATATTTGGCTGGTTTTCCTGCCTTCTCCCCTTCTCTATACTCAACTGTTTAAGAAAACATTTTTTTTCTTAAAAAGCATTGGGAGTTATCATGCTAATAATTACTCCAAACTGTTAAAACAAGTGATTAAAGTATAAAACACATCCTAGAATTAATGCTGTTTTACAGCAGTACCTGACCAACTGAAGCATATCTCCCCCTTGATCCAGAGTAAAGCAATATCAGACCTTCTAACCTGCTGTATTAGACCATCATGGGAACATTTTTGCTTTAACAAAGCCCTCTGAAGGGCTGTAGATCATCATCCCACGAGAGGGCCAAACCACATCCCATTTATCTACAGTGAATGCTGTGAGACTCAGAATAAGTGTACAAAGAGAGATCTACCCCAATAACTCAGAAAGAATTGCAGAGGAGCTGCTGTTTCAGACCACATTTACTTCTCTTTTATAAAAGGCCTTGAATTCAGCCCCAAAATATTTAAGTTTTGCAAAGCACTGGGACCTTGCTCAAGCTAGACAGCAATCAAGCATGAAACAGCCATGAAATAAACAAGAAAATAAACAGCACCAGTAGTAAAGACTAAAGTATTTAAAGTCTAGTTTTATTTATTTATTATACAGTCCTCCCAGCTGACAGGTCAACTTCCAGACTTATGGGAGGCATCTAAAACTTATTACCCAAGGAACATCACATCCTCCCTTCCTTCCAGTTCAGAAGCAGATGTTTCTTCACACAATGCAGCTTGTGCATTCTCCACTCAGGAAAGCTGCTCTGTACCTTCTCCTGGGGAATTAACCCCACCTGCCATCACCTGCTCTGTCACCTTCCCTCCTCTCAGTTCCCATCTCAAATTCCTGTCCCTTGTTGGAGATCACCTCCCTTCCTCATGACTCAATCTCATTTAACTTCTTCCTCTCACATCCAACCTTTAACCTTCTCTTTTCTCCAAAATCCCAATCTCATTTTTCCTTCAGGTGACTCATTTTCCTCTCACTGTGCCACAGCCAGGCCTGTGATCTTTACACTGTCCTTACCCTTAATAAATGGAAAACCAGAGAATCTCCTCCCATTGAGGAGCAAGTGAAGATAACACACTAGATATGGAACTGGATACTTACAAAGCAGGGTCTTTATGAAGTGCTATCTCTTTAGCTGCTCCCAGAAACATGACAGCAGCAGCTTTAGGACTCTCTCTTTCTGCCTGATTTAAAAATCTTGTTACCAGTGCAAAAACTCCAGAATACCTAAGAAAGTTAAGTAGGCTGTAAGTTAAATTGTCTGCAATGATGTACTTAGTAAGCAAATGGCAATTATGACCATTACACTCCAGTTTGAGAGCAAATCAACTCGCCTTTCCTTGAAAAGCGGCTGTAAGATAGTGACAGGGTATTTGCACAACTGTTACTTTAAGCATTTTAAAGACATATACCATTGAGTAAAAGCTGAACTCCACCCTAAAAATCCAAATTAGTAAAAACATGGGCTTTACCATCATGCTTTCCCAGGTTATAATAATGAAGGCTATTATCAAGTGTCTTAATAGAGCACAAGAGATGTATTTAAAGATGTATTTAAGGAAGTGTTTAAACTTAAATTGCATCCAAGTGCAATTTAATTGCTCACTGGCCAATTAAGTTCTCTCAACTATGTTTCTGCTACATCAGGTGCCACAATTCTGATTATCACTTGCCTAAAGAAAAGCAAACCTGCACTGACCCATATGTACTGCCGAGTTCTGTTGTCACTTACCTGTATACAACTTCCATGTTGCGTGATCTGCAGATATTGCATTGCCCAGGAGGCCATTTTGGGAGGCAAAAGCATTCATGTTGTGTGGGAGGTATTCTTTTTCCAGTCAGATACTTATTATATTCCAAAGAAAGTTCCTGGATAAATTTTATTAGAAGACTTCCTAAGAGAGCAGACAGACATGAAACTGTTAGTGTAAAATTTTTTGCTCAAAACTAAAAGAAACAGAAAGATCATCATAGGTGCCTCACATGAAGTAATTAGCAAGTTACTCACACCCTATCTTACTGGCCAGGAAAGCTTTGTTGCTTCTTGCAGAGGGAGGATAGCAGGAAAGCACACAAACTGGACCAGCAGACCTCTGTCTGGTCTGAGTGCGGCCCAGAAAGAGACTAGCAAGAGTAAGCTGCTACCTTAAAAATTCACCAAGCCTTCACAAGGAGAGTTGTGGAGCAGACAAGCCATCCATCAAACCACAGGTATCCCAGGACAGCAGGAGAACGTGACACTTACCCCCGTGCCGAAGGTCTGCGTCTATGTCTGTGAGCTCCAAATTGAACATGACGAGAACACCAGCCAAGGCAAAGTCACGCTGCTCCTTCCAGAATTTGCTTTTGTTGTGTGCATTGCAGTGACAGAGGGAAGGGGTTGTCCAATTCTGGCACTATTGCATAAAAATGTGGAAAACAGGAAAAGTTGTTTGTGGTTTGTTTTTTTTTTTCCTTTTTCTTTTTTCTTCCCCCCCTCTCCAGTTGAGTAAATCAAAAGTTAGTTCCTCTGAGTGAAGCACTACAACTCATTTCATTCTCTACACACCCAGGCAAAGCCACAGTGAAGTATTTTGCAAATCAGGGCAAGAGGCCAATGCAGCAATAACTTGTTATCATGGCTTAAAGAAAATTTTAAAAAGCCCATAGTAATTTACTGCCATTCCTGAATACCTCACAGAGACACTCGGGCCTGGCATCCTCCCCACTGTGATCCAGGAACAGAGCACTGACTCTGCATGTTCACCTCAGCTTTGCTCACAGTTCCACATTTTCTGAATTTTAATCAAAACCCAAACAAAACCAACCCCACACCCCCAATTCTGCCAACTCCCCCACTCCTTCACTCTAAGTAAGGACGGTCTGAAAGTTTGACACTTGTCTAGTGCAGTGAGAAGGATCTGATTCAGCAATCTGATGCCATGAAATACACTGTGCCTAAAGCAAACAGGATTTCCACTTGCTTAAACCAAGGGAATCTTGTCTACAACAACCAGCTGGACTACTAGAAATAAACCCAGAAACCACATTTTAGTGGGATTGTGAAGCAGACAGATATCAACATTTAGGAGAGGAACTGTTAAAACAATCAGATTTCCCATATAATTTATTCTTTCAATGTGTTTAAGAGTGATTTGTTTTAAAAGGACTGTTGAGTAATTCAGTTTACTCAAAGTTGTGCACTTGACTACAGCTCTTCTCACCTCAGAAGCCAGTTTATCACAAATGTAGCAGTAGCATTGGTTACAAATATCAGCATTTTTCCCCAGGGGGGAGCACGTATCACTCTCCATTCGCCTACAAAGTTGAAAAAACAGAAGTTTATTCCTGAAAAGTCACATGTTTATCCAAATCTACTTCTGCTTTCAGCTGTTAAAAAGCTAACCAGGTTACTTGACAAGACAGACTAAATGTGGGAAACAAACCCCCCCTCTGAACCTCCAGGTCACTGAACATACTCAAAGGGGTGCATCGTGCAGTCGTATCTTGCATGAGGCATCACTTTTGCTTGTTTACAGAAAGTAACCACTAGTTCACATTCCTCATCCACAACTTCTTCAGATTTCTGCTCTTCCAGGGCAGATTCCTCTGGAGAAAAGAGAACACACAGTGTAAATCAGTATAAAGGTAAAGACAACTTAACTGAAATTCCACCAGCTATTGATATATTGTTTTTAAAAAGCATTCTAAGCTGCACATTTTCTTATTATTTCATAGAGTGTCAATAAGAAAGGTACAGTGGTCTGGGACAAAAAATTTCCCCACACTATCAAAACAGAGGTAAATTAATAAAAAATGATCCAATTGACAGTGAGAAGGCCCAGTTTGTAATATTTTGAAACTAACAGCAGTAAGGTAATTAGTGCCATCAAAGAAATCTCAAAAGTTCTGAAATAATGGTGGTTCCTCCTGGTTTTATTGATCTTTTCTTGAAGTATTTTGTTTTCCTTAGCAGCAGAAAGACACATTTCAAGTATATCACATAACATTTTACATCACTTTGCTTCAACGAAGTTCTGTAAAGAACTTCATCAGCAACAAGAGGACAGTACTTACCCAAGGGGTCTACCAACAGAACCGAATTCCCAGCCGTGCTCTCAGCTTCATCGTCGCTGATCAGGATGATGCTCTGCTCTTCCTCTTCTCTTTTTGATGTCCCCATGGTTATTAAACTTTGAAGGAAATTAACTACTGGCAGCAAAGAGGACACAAAGACAGTTCACACTTGGAAGGTCCTTTCCTCAAGAAGGGAAGAAAAAGATTTGTCCAAGACTTAAATTCTTCATCTACGTTGAGTAAGTTACACTAGGGACAGAAGTCTTCAACCCTCATGGTGGTCAGCAGCTCAAAAAACATTGCAGCTTCCATCCAGAGCAGGGAGAACCCTAAAAACAAGGAGATGGGAAGGAAGGAAAAAAGGATGAGAGCTGGCATTCCTTTGGTGGGATCCCCCCTGAAAGAACTGCTGTTGTTGATGATAATTTAGCTGCCCCTTGCAGACTGCACACCCCAGGTACCCGAAATACCCAGTGTAGACTCACCTACTCCCTTCCCACTTCCCCACCTCACACAAGGGCACCCCCAACCCCCCCCATGTCCTACAACC